TTTTTTTTTTTTTTTTTTTTTTTGGTTTAAAGGTCAGGGAATTATTTATATCTGTACATTTTTCAGAGAACGTATTAATCTCATAATTCAGTGGTGTTCTTTTTTTTAGGTTATAGGAATAAAACCAGGACTTGCTAGATGCTAACCTTACTCATAACTCAGCTTACCTATAACGGCTTTGAAAGCTGTGGCCAGTTTTGTCTATTTTATTTGTTTTCTTATTTAAGTTCAGATTACAAACTACCAAGTTATTACCAGAGTAGAAAAGTTTTAGCTGAAAAGAAAATCATTCACTTTCTCTTCACATGGTGCCACTTTTTTAATTTTTAGAATATCCTTTCTGAAACATGATTCAGGATGATTTCCATATGTAATTTTTCTGGTTTTTCTCTTAGCACTTTTTCTAACACATTCTGCTTTATCCCTCCTATGGCTATGGGCACAAAACTCTAAGAGTTTATTTTTGTTTGCTTTAGATTCAGTAGATACCATTACCATAAATATGTCCAGTATGAATTATGATTCTAAAGTGGCAGGTGTTTGATAGGAAGCTTAGCATAGAATAGCAATGACTTGATTTTCTGAGATTCTGAACATCACTAAAGTGGGCTACTAGGGTTAGCCAAGAGAGAATAAGATGTAATTGCTTGCCTAGAGTGATAATATCTTTCCAGTTCATCTCCTGAATACCAATGAAGGCATATGATTTCAGGGAGATGGTAAAGATCAAATAAGGGGAATAATTAAAATGAGAATAAATTGTAGTATATGTCGACCAGGTGTGTGCTACTCATTATTTTGAAGAAGAACATAAAATAAGACATTACTTACTCTGAAATATTCTGGAGTAATATTTGTTCTTTTAGAGCCAGTAAGTCCTCGTGTATGTTTCATAGAAATCGTATGGGCTTCGAAAAGAGGGAGGTACTTGACCCATTGTACATTTTATGAATTATACTCCAAAGAGAAGACTTGTACTTAAAATCTAGGAGAAATAACAGAAAATTAACACATTGCTTTTAGTTTAATTGTTTTTTTTTTTTTTACTCCTCCCCCCCAATCTTTTTTTTTCCCCAGTATTTTTTTTATTTAATAATTTGTATCAGTAGTTAGGAAACAAGGAAAGAAAATCAGCTTTCATTAATAAGACTTGATATTATGTATACTCACCTGAAAAATATTCATTTTGTTACCTCCTACTGAAGGTATCTGTTACTCTGTTCTCATGTCCTCACTTTTAGTAGCAAACAAAACCATAGATTATTGTTAGGAAAATTAAATAATATAATATAAAGCTCCTAGCACATAGTAAGCACTTAATTTTAGAGAGAGTTGCTAATATTATTTACAGTTAAGTTGCTAGTCTTTTGAGTCAGTCTTGCTTTTAAAATATGTAGATAAGAGTATGAATTTTATTAAGTTGCTTGATTTGTTTTATCTTTGCAATCCTTAGTAGATGAGTTATAGAATTTTTTTTAATGCAGTCTTGATACTAATTATTGAATGCTAGTACTCAGACCCTGTATCTGTGTATAGGATGGAATAAACAGAAATGTCAAAACACATGTATTTTGTTAGGCCTTTTAAATTATTAATTCATATAACACAGTGCTGTAGTATGTTAGTCAACCCAATGAGTAATATGCTTTTGATAAAGAAAAGTTTTTGTGGAAATAGTTTAAACATGAAAACATGTTTCTATCCGACTTAACTATTATTAGAATCACCTATGAACCTTTCTAAAAATATCAATTTCTGTTCCCACCGCACTGCTGACTTTCCAGGAAAAGGAACTGAACAGTGGTGTGATGGGAAATGTTTATCAAATCAGCTCTCAAATTAGGCACTGATTTGTAGTGTTTACCCATTTCCATGGTGTAAATACTTCCACCATGGTCAGTTTCAAGCTACTAAGATGATAACGGAAACCCTGGTGGTATAGTGGTTAAGAGTTTGGCTGCTAAACAAAAGACCAGCAGTTCGAATCCACCAGGCACAGCTTGGAAACCCTGTGGGGAAGTTCTCCTCTGTCCTATAGGGTTACTGTGAGTTCGAATCAACTCGATGGCACTGGGTTTGGTTTTTTTTTTTTTTTTTTTTTTAAGATTATAACATTGAATGCAAAGTTGGTTAAAGATGCGCAGTAGCACACCATTATATAGTATTTCCATCATACAGATACACTAAACATACATAACCCCAGGAGAATAGATAATAGTATAATTTAGTAAAAGAATTCTAAGTATTTATTACCTTTATTTTTAATATTATTAATTGTAGGTTTATGTAATTTAATTTTTAATAATGGCTGCATTTAACAGTTGGTGTATAAATTTTCTGAAAATTTAACTGTCATCTCTCATGAGCTGGTATGAACTAACTCTGAACACTGGAGCTCTGAGATATCTGTGTGTGTTTTTGTTTTTGTTTTTAACCAATTAAGTAATGCTGATGCAAGCAACGTGCCAATCAGTTAGTTTTCTAAAATACAGATCTGACTGTAAGGCTCAATAAGGCATTCCACAGTCAGATCCAGAATTTCTTTTCCAGCCTCATTTCAGATCATACTCATCCCCTTACATCCTCTGTATTTCATGTACAGTAGATTTAGATTATTTGCAGCTTCTCAAACACACCTTGCACTTGCCCACCCCCATGCCTCTTCATTATCTTCCTTTAGCCTTAAATGATCCTGCCTCATCTGCCTGACTTCTGCAATACTATTTATTTATCCTTCTAGAAATAACTGAAATGCTACTACCTCTTATTTCCTATTGTTGGAAACATTTCCATTCTCCTTGATATTCTCCTAGCACTTCGTTTATACTTCATTTTGAACACTAAATAGCACCATTAATAAATGTTTGTTTCACTAATTAGATTATAAATTTCTAAAGGGTGGGTTTAAATCATCCTACACCTAATGCATTAATACCTAAAAGTGATTAATAAACACTTGGTTTTTTGTGTTCTTTTTTTTTTTTCTTTCTTTGTTTCTAACCAGGAAGAATGGTGGACAATGTGTGATACATCCTAATTTTTTTTTTAAATAGTGTTTTACATCCTTACTTTTTAAGTGGAGTGTTTCTGTGCCTTTAGCAAACTGTCCAAAATTTAAACTTATTTTGTACCCCTTTTTTCCTGCAGATTCAGGACCATATTAGCAATTGTACACCCATATTCTGTTACCTAAAGAATAACATCATGATGACTCTGTAACTTAACAAAGGAATTTCATTAGAGAATATGAGAAGGACGCAAGAGCCAAAAAGACTAAATTATATAACTAAGTTTGTGAGTTACTGTTATTATTCTGAATTTAGTGCACTTCACAGTGCTTTCAGCATAAAGTCAAATGTTACTTTATCATTTTCCCAGCATAAAGCTAAATGAGGCCTTTGTATCAATAAACAGCCTCTAACAGAAGCAAGAATATCATGCGTTGCTTTGTGACTTGGGAGAAATTTGTTTTCATATTCGCCCTGAAGGGTAAATTCCTCATCAGTCTTTCTGGCATTTTATCTAGAATTAGAATTATCTGATTGCCTTCACAATAACGTATTGACAGAATCTAGTTGTGTGAAGGAAATATTTTCTAAAGTAAAAGCAATCCAACAATTTCTTGTAGCAAAGGCAACACATTCTTTGTTAGTGGTTCAGGATTTTTCTTTTTTTTCCCCATCAAGCTGCCACCTGATGGCGGAAATTAAAATGGCATCTTTTGTAAAAATGAAAACTTCTATCACAATTATTTGGATTTTTATATATTCAGCATAGACCTCCAAAACTCCAAACGAACATTTGTACAAATATTATATATTTGATAAATGTGTGATAATTACTTTGAACTTTAGGGGAATCATATTTATTATTATTTAACTTTTGTTATTTATTATTTAAGGTCCCTGAGTGGCACAAATGGTTTGTGCTCGGCTCCTAACCTAAAGGTTGTTGGTTCAAATCCACCCAGCGGCGCCTTGGAAGCAGTCTGCTTCCGTAATATTACCACCATTGAAAACCCTGTGGAGTACAGTTCTACTCTGACGCATATGGGGTCACCATGAGTCAGAATCAACTCAATGGCAATGAGTTTGGTTATTTGGTATTTATTATTTAACCTCCTAGGAGATTTCTTTAAAGTCTTGCTTCTGTTACACAGTTCTATAAAGAATCTGTTTTTCAATCAGTTGTATGTAATGAAAATTTTTACTTAAGTGTAGTTATTGTCTCTTTTCCTTTTCCCTTTTCTTTCTTCAGAACGAGGTCACTCAGACACCATGGTGTTCTTTTACCTGTGGATCGTCTTTTGCATCATCAGTTCCTGCTATACCCTCATCTGGGATCTGAAGATGGACTGGGGTCTCTTTGATAAGAATGCCGGAGAAAACACCTTTCTCCGGGAAGAGATTGTCTATCCCCAAAAAGTATGTACACAGAATGTTTGTGTTCGAAAACTCAAGTGTTCCACCAGCTAAATCCTATTGTAATACAATAACACCTTCTTGTTCCCTCCCCCATCCTCCCAATATAGCAATAATGTAAGCTTTGGACTGCTTATTATGATAAATGAGCAGTCAGTGAAGTAAGTAATGTCTAAAATTGATGTATCAAAATATAGCAGTATATACACATTATCTAGAAATCTAAAGGACAAATACTAGAAGAAATAGCTACAGGTATTGAAAATATTTGTCTCTAGGGTATGGGAAGAGAAGGTGGCAAGGGGACTGCTGTTTTTTTATTAATTACCTTCTAAGATTGACTAGTATTACTTTGTTAAAAAAGTTTTTTTAATAAAATATACATATTAGAATGTAGTTGCAGTCAGATTATGGATCTTATCTGGCTTGTATTTCTGGGGTCTGGAAGAGAGCCTAGTATATAATATGGTAATAAAATATATTTGTTAAATGAATACTGTAATTCAGTAAAGCTTCGTTTTGAATATTGCACCTTTTAAGAAAAAATGGAATTGGTGGGATCTTTCTGAAATATAATATATACCTCTGCAAAAAAATTAGAATATAACTCTTATTCCTTTTTAACCTGTGCTTATTGGTGGAACACATGTGAATGTTCTTGTTGCTGTCATAGATGTGCTTGTTTGTGAGAAATGTGATGGTACGCATACTCAATTTGCTTATTGTTCCTCAGGCCTATTACTACTGTGCCATCATTGAGGATGTGATACTGCGCTTTGCTTGGACTATCCAAATCTCAATTACCTCCACGACTTTGTTGCCTCATTCTGGGGACATCATTGCTACTGTCTTTGCTCCCCTTGAGGTCTTCCGGTAAGCAAACTAGCAAAAAGTTTGTCAAAGATTCTTTTTACCCAAAAGAGGTTCAATACTTATAAATTAGAATTTATTATAACTTTTGCTTGAAAAACTTAAATTTTCCAACTTCTCCTCAAACTTCTCATCAGCCTCAGAGTTGGAAAATTATAATTGAGGGATTTAGAGTTTAATACCTAGAACGTTGAAATAACTATTGATGATGACTTATAAGCTTTTTTATTAGAATTGGGTTCCACTGGAAGAGTCATGAGTAGAAACTGAGAGGTAAAAAAGCTTAGAACAGAAATTTAAATCTTCTGAGAATCATATCATACAATTTAGTAGTCTGGGTTATTCAGCCCAGCCTTCTCACTGTGAAAATGATTAAAATGCCAAATCAGGTGTTTTTTAAATCTTCTTAAAAGCATCAGCCATCTGACAAGATAGCCCAAAATGTAAAGGAAAGCCGAAACCCCAAGGTAAGCAGAGCATTAAAGCCACTTTTACCGTGAAGAAATTTGCTTCACCTGGAGGCTTTGAGATTCGGTTATGATGGTCAATTCAAATTTGTATGTTCTTAACAGCATATTTTGAAAATATGAAGGGAAAATTTGACATCACTAGAAGTAGAAGCATATGTGCTTACAATTTTTTGTGTGTGGTATATACACACACACACACACACACACACATATATACCACACACAAAAAAGTCTATGTATGTATATGTGGCAAAACATTTGCCATTTCAGCGATCTTCAAGTGTACAGTAGTTCGGTGACGTTAATTATGTTCATCATGTTGTTGAATCATCACCCTTAACAGAAGCTCAGTGTACCCTAAGTGTTGGGTCTTCCGTTCCCCTTCCTTCCTTCCTGCCCCTGGTAACCACTAGTAAACTTTGATCTCTGTATACTTGCCTATTCTAGATATATAGATGGGCTGATATAATCTTTGTCCTTTTGTGACTGACTTATTTCACTCAGTATAATGTTTTCAAGGTTCATCCATGTTATAGCATGTACCGTGACTTAATTTCTCTTTATGGCTGAGTATATTCCTTTGTGTGTATGTACCACATTTTGCTTATCCATTCATCTGTTGATGAACGTTTAGGCTGTTTCCCCCTTTTGGCTACTGTGAATAGTGCTTTAAAGAACATTGGTTACAGGTTTTCTGTTTGCATTCCTGCCTTCAATTCTTCTAGGATTTCTGGGTCCTCTAATCTTAATAAATGGTGTCACCATTCACTCAAACCAAAAACCTAAGACAACTTACATCCCCTGTTAGTAAGTCCTGTCAGCTCCATCTTCATAAATAAATCCCTGATCTGTCTGTTTCTCATCACCTCTGTTTTTAGTATCTTAATCCAAGTCATCATTATCTCATTCCTGGATGACTGCAACAACCTCCAAACAGGTCTTCTTTCAGTTGTTCTTGTCTCCCTTCAGTCTATTCACAGTGCAGCAGATAAAATGATCTTTTTAAAACAAATCACATCATTCTCCTCCTCAGAACTCTCATTGGTTTCCATCACGCTTAAAATCTAAATTCTTGACTATGGCCCTTTGTGGATCAGGCCCTTTTCTACCTCTCCATCTTTATCTCCTGCCATTTTTACCTCACTCCACTGTAGTCCCACTCACCTTGTTGTTGTTTCAGTGCACCAGAGGCCTTTCCAACTTGGGGCCTCTTGTACTTGCTATTTCCTATGCCTGGGACACTTTTCTCCAGGATTTTTACCCGTCTCACTTCCTTGCATCTTTCAGGTTTCTGCTGGATGCCATCTCTTCAGAGAAGCTTTCCCTAATGAGTCTTACCATATCATACTCTATCCCCTTGCCCTGCTTTATCTTCTTCAGAGCACTTATCTTTAACTAATTATTTATTTACTTTTATATTAGCTGTCTCTGTTGCTAGAAATTACGCCTCATAAGGGCAGAGGCTTTCTCTGCCTTATTCAATGCCTTTCCCTGTCGTATAGTAGCCCTTCCATAAATATTTATGGGATAAAGTGAAAGAGTGTTCTGAAACTGTATTTCATGAGTCCTGTCCTCTTGCCTACTCTCTTCTTACTTTTAACCTCATATTTTCCTGTTTTATTTTAATGCTGTAGCCCTTCATTCCTTCTGTTTGTTTCCATGAGTAGAAGCTTGATATACTAGGAGGTTTACTGGTAAGGGTAGTATATTCAAATTTTCTAAGTAATTTACTTGGTATAATGAAATATTTTTGAAGCAAATTTGGATGTTATAAAAATGTTTATGCTTGTTGAATTGGTATATTGCTATGTGCATTCTCAACAACAAAATAAATAAAATCTTTTTAAAAATTACAAAATGCTTATGCTTCTTGTACCCTCTAAGGCGATTTGTATGGAACTTCTTCCGCCTGGAGAATGAACATCTGAATAACTGTGGTGAATTCCGTGCTGTGCGGGACATCTCTGTGGCCCCCCTCAATGCAGATGATCAGACACTCCTGGAGCAGATGATGGACCAGGATGACGGGGTACGAAACCGCCAAAAGAACCGGCCGTGGAAGTACAGCCAGAGCATATCCTTGCGCCGGCCTCGCCTCGCTTCTCAGTGAGTATGGATTCCACATCCGGGAGGCGTATGTCCTTCAGGTTTTAGCATAGGATAACATTTAAGCTATGATGCTGTCAGGTTAAACCAAATGAAATTGCCGATACTCACCATTTTTCACCTACAGAAAACAGCAATAAATAGTTATTTCATATGATCCAACCTATAGAACATCTTAATGAGCACATAGAGTGAAAAGGTCATTCTTTAGTGCATAACTTACTAATTTGTCATTAAAGGTACACTGCCTAGGGAGAAGTTTATTGGAAAATAATTTACTTGACTCTTCAGTATTTTTGTATAAAAATAATTTCAGATTACAAACTTTAGGAACCCTAACTCTGCCATTTGCCATCTATGTAACCTTGGCCAAATTTTGTAATCTCTTTGTATTGTCCTTTATCTGTAAAAATGGGATTAAAGTGTGCTCATCAGGTGGTTAAGTAGATTAAATTCATTATTATATGGAACTTAAACCAGTTCCCAGAGAGAAAGACCTCAATCATTTTTTATCTTCTTATTAAATACCTACAATAATATTTTTATCAGTCACTGTCTTTGTATATTCTTAAAAGTAATAATAAATGTAGGATATATGATGGGTGCGTTCGAAATTTAGAGACAGTAAATAGCACAGTGGATTGGAAAACAGCAGATTTTTAAAGAATAAGGGAGTATGAATACGCTAGAGGCACAGTATGAATAAAGACATAAAGACAGAAATGAGGGGCAGAAAGAAAAAACATGTGACTGGAATTGTAGTGAGAAAACTTGACCTGATTACATGAAGTATGATTGTAAAAGGCTGAAAGTTCAAGCTAGTTCCTGTAGGCAGAGTCACAGAGAATTTTTTCATAGGAGAATGACATTATGAAATTAGTATTTTAGGAAGGTTTAGTGCACTGTGCAAGAAAAGGGAAAACTTAAGGACAGAAGACCAACTAAAAGGCTACTGCAGTCTTCTTAAGTATGGGACAGTAAGAATGTGAATTAGAGTGCTTACAGTAAAAAACAGCAGGTGGTAACAGTAACCGCTGGTTATAAGGGAGTAGTGTAGAAATTGCACAAAACTTTAATAAGTAAGACTTTAGGTAGAAATTTGGAAGTTCTCTGAGAAAGAAAAGGTAGAGGAGGGTAGAAATGCAGAGAGCAGGAAACTTATTTGGTCTTAGAGAAAAAGAATAAACATACAAAAGGGCCAGGAAAGTCATGGTCAGAAAGGTCAGTAGGAAGAGCATCAAAACAAAGCATGATTCTTTCAAAACCGAGAAAAGCAGAGTTTGAAGAAGCAGGGGGTGAAGGGTGGGGAAGGTCACAAGATAAGTGCTTACAGAGGGCTAGAAGAAAATGTATGTGTTTGTTATCTTTGAGCTTCTGAAGTTGAAAGTCTAATAATCCTCGTTAGTCACCAGAAGAGGGCAATCTAAACACACAGTATTTCTGCTTCAGAAACTTGGAGGTTCTTTGGCAGTAGATTATTATATCCAATTTCAGGTGTTTAATGGGAGAACACTGGGAAAGTAGATTGTAACCAGAGGAAGATATTTAGAATAGTGGAGCAGGTTATGTGCAAGGGAGAGAGAAGATAATCTAAAATAACAAGATCTGAGTTTGAGTACTGACTTTAAGACTCATGCAGCCTTTAACACATCCTTGACTTTTTTGAATGTTAGTTTCCACTCTGCAAAGTAGGAATAATAATACCTATTTCACCAGAAACCATTTTCACCTCATGAGCCATATGGGTTGCAGAATATTTTAACATTAACATTACATTAACAATAACATTTCTACTCCCATTTTTCATCCAGAGCAGAAAACTCTTCTATAGCATCCTGAATAGATGGTCATCACAGTGAAATAAATTAATAATAAAACATATAATAATATAACTGTAAACATCAGCTGATTGATATTGAAGATCATCATTAATATTGAAGTTCATAACTATAAGAGGCACCTGATTTTATTGTTGGACAGTTGATAGTCTAGTGATAGAAGGCTTATGTTGGGCTAAAATATGCTATAACTTCAACCAGTTCATCCTGATTGGGCTTTCTGATGTAACTTAGAATGAGTCTCCTCTCTCTTCTACATCATACCTTGTCAGCTGTTTGAAGACAGGCAACTGTCATGCCTCTCCTTAGGTCTTACCTTCTGCTGGCTGACTCTCCTGTATGCCTCAATGGCATTATTTCTATCATCCTCTTCATAATTCTTATGTAATGCTTTACTGTTGCTTTTTAGATCTATTTTCTTATTTTATATTCACACTATACCTATGAGGTGAAAGTAGTATTAGATGAAATAGGTATTCCTGCTTTACAGAGATTGAAATTGGCACACAAAGAGGTCAGAGATAAACGTCATAAAACCAAAATCAATATTCAAACTCAGAACTTACAAATTTACTACTCATTACACATGACCTGCCATTGTTCTTGTTGCCTTCATCTAGATGCAATCTAGTTTCTTAGTGTTTTTTCCAGTAACACCTGAAATTGGATATGAAACCCCAGGAATAGTCCATTCATTGCAGTCTATAGTGCCTATTTAGGATGTATGTTTAATGTGGTCAGATTGAAAATATACCTAATACTATGGATGTGTTTATATTTTTAGTAATGGACTAAATCCTTTTTCTCCCCTTATTACCACTAGATCCAAGGCTCGTGACACAAAAGTATTGATAGAAGACACAGATGATGAAGCTAACACTTGAATTCTCAGAAGTCTAGATTAACATCCTTGGTTTTCCTTCTCTTCAATTCTTTCCTCGACCAACGCAACCTCTAATACCTTTCCAACTGACACAGAAGACACATAACACATTTTCCGAGCTCTTCCAGATCGGATCCTATGGACTCCAAACAAGCTCACTGTGTTTCTTTTCTTTTCTTCTGGTTTAATTTTAATTTTCTATTTTTAAAACAAATATTTACTTCATTTTGCCAATCAGAGGACATTTTAAGGAACAGAAACATAGTATCCTATGGATTGTTTACAATCACAAGGACACAGATACCTATCAGGATGACGAACAGGACACAAGGACCCTCTGATGGGACGGTACCGAGATATCTCGGCTTCTTCTTGGCCCGGTTTTGACTGGTTGAAACCGGACACTGGTTTTTAAATTTTTTTGTCAGTTTATGTGGAGAATTTTTTCCTTTCCTTCATACCCAGCGCAAAGGCACTGGCCGCACTTGCAGGGAAAGTGCAACTTAGAGCAGTACCTTCATTCACGAAGCTACTTTTTAATTTGATGTAACTTTTCTTATTTTGGGAAGGGTTGCTGGGTGGGTGGGAAATATGATGTATTTGTTACGTATTATTTTCTCATTATTTATGAAACTTAACCATAAGAGAACGATATAACTCCTGTGCAATGAAGGTGATAACAGTGAAAGAAGACAGGGGAAACTAATGTTGAACGGCACTTATGAGGGTTCAGTCCCATAATACCTCTTTCATGAGACAACTCGCACCAGTTTGGCTTTTTCTTTTCATTTCTTTTTCATTTTAAACCAAAGTTTCTATTACTGATTTTTTCAGTTGCTGCTGCTTTAGAATTCTAAGCGTATCTCTCGTAACACACTTTCACACAATTGGTTGAAATTTATAGAAAAGGTTCTGATACTTTTTTTTTTTTTAAGGAACAAATGTGGAATATATTTGCCCATATCCAGTCACAACAACTGAAGTTATGCCTTATTACGCTTCCGCGTGTAGGGTAATTGCAGTGAAAGCTTTACTAACTAACTCTGAATTAGAAGACAAAGGTATTTCAGAGACTTTCTGCACCCTCATTTTTCTTCTGAGCTCACTCACTTGAGCCACAGTTTGATCAAATTAGAAGTCTGTTGTGGAGAAAAGATATTTTTGAGCACATAGAACAAATTATCCTTCCTTCTTCACAGTACGTTGATAAAACAGCCATTTCTCCCAGCAGTTTTAAAGACTGAACATTGGATTTCATGCTCTCCCATGACAGAAAATCTGCTTTTCAATTTTTAAGGTCTAAACTTGGTAATATATAAAAAAATGCATTAGAAATTTCAGACTATTCTGTACACAATGCCCATTTCTACTTCCTTGTCTCATTTTTTCACTTTGTTCCAGAGTCATCCAAATAAGTCTTAAAACCATAAGGGATTTTACTTTCTTGAATATGGTTGGCATTAAATTCAGTGTTTCTTTATCTAACAAAATTAATATAAATACCAGGAAAAAATAAAGTGTGTTTTAATTCAGCTCCCCTAATCCAGATGAAGATTTCAAAGTATCCATTTCTACCTGTTAGATTTATAGCAGTTGTCATACTGAGAGTACTTCCACATTATATACTTTTCTGTTCCTGATTATCTGTGCTATTCAGAGTCAACATCACTGGATTCATCAAAGTAAATTACTTCTGTCATTTTCTACTTAATGTTAAAAAAAGAAATAAGTAGAAGGAGCAGCTATTATCACTTAGTCTTAAAAACATATGGTTACTGCCCTTCAGTGCACCCCTTTTGTCATTAACTCTTCTCCCATGTATCACAAGTCTTTATTCAGCACTGTCATAATTCCAGTAGATTATCTTAAAGTTAATATTAATACCAAAATTCTGTCAATTAACTGACAAATAGTTTATTTTTAAGGAAGTTTCTTCCATCTTTGTTCTGACAATCTTCTAAAATTTGTTCCTTTTCAGAATTGAGAGGGTTTTTTGTTTGTTTTTCTGAAAAATCATCCAATTTTGTGACTTTTATTGCTTTTTTGTGCTTTACCAAGCATGTCCCTTGGCCCAAAACTAAAGAAATGTTTAATTACTGAGTTGTTTTTTTTTTTTTTTTTGGCGGGCGGGGGTGTCTTTTTTTAGTTTTAATAAGTTTAATCATTTATAACAATCAGTGGTAACAATTTAGTGACCCTTGGTAGATTAAAGGTTGGATTATTTATATTTGGGATTTTTTTTCCCCTAACTATTCTGTTTTGTACTATGGGGAAAGTATCACTTGGTCTGTCAAGAAATAGCAGTAATTATTACTGAGTTATATAGATAAGTCCAGTGGACCGGTCATTGCTTGTACAAATAAAATTGGTGGTACTAATGTGTATCCAGAGCCATGTGAACTGTAAACTTCATTCTCTGTTAGGGAATCTGTGAAGACACACAAAATGGTACAGTTGACTTCTGGTATTTGAACTTCCCGGTATTTTCACTTCACTGTATCCTGTGGCCAGTTTGGTTTTCTTCAACTATTAGAGTTCTAGGCCGTAAACAGTATTACTCCTTTTTTTTTTTCATGGAAATACATGTTACAATGTATCCCTTTTTCTGATGTGTTTGTCCTGTTGGCATAGTCTATTCAAGAATGAAAAGGCTTGTGTAACTTTCAGCCTCCATGACAGATGCTCAAATATGTATTTAAACATACAGCTTTATGTTCCTCTTACAACTGTAATGAGAGAAGTTTTCTGCATCAGGGAAGTTTGGGAAGCTGAGTATACATTTAAAATTTTTTTACTTACAAAAGGCAACGTCCATTTTTCTCTCTTAGTTTTTCTATACCTTAACAGTCTGGCAGATGCTATGCCCTGCCTAAAGTTTTACTGGACTCCGTCCACTGCATCTCTCAATAGAAATCAGTCATTTTAAAGGAGAAACAGTCCAACCAAAGGTAAACTTTATCTGATTTTAGGTTTAGAAATTCTAGTTTCTTTTTTATTTGAGGAACACTCAATGTATGATAATCAGTTAAAATACTTCCCAAAGGAACAAAAAGGTAGTATAAATAAAAAGTAAAATTCATTTTTCATTTTACATTAGTATGGAAAGCATTGATAGGTGTAGAGAAATTAGAAGACAAAGAAAATTGGTTTATTTTCTGTGCACAAATGAGCACCTGTATTTAAGGCTGTGTACACTGTTACAGTGGAAGAGTTGATGATTTCATACCATACAGAGAGGCAGTAAAATGACCAAAGATTAAGTCATTATTAATAAGGTTATAATGGTCATTTGTAAGATTGGGAAGAATTCAGAAACCTATGTGCAACTTTCTTTTCCAGCATCTACCATTTGACTCCTTAGGAGAGCTGCTTAGCTTCAGATTCAGATGCAGTGGTATGAGAGGAGAACAGCAGTCAGCCCAGCAGTAGACTGTATGAACTTTTAAAGAAGGAAAATGGGGCCCTGCCCCTAGAATCCATGATTTCCCAATATTCTAAACAGTTCTGAGATTTTAACTGAGCTTTTACTAGAGGAAACTTGTTTATATATGGTATTCTTCCACCATGGTTTGACCAGAGTACATTCAGGATAACTAGAGAAAGTTCATCCATCTCTTTTAACAGGTGAGCTAAGGCAAGGTAAAAATAGAAAAAAGTAAGCTATTATTGAGCCTGCAGTGATCAGATTAACAGGCATTTAGTTAAAGAGAAATAAAATCATTTTGGAGCTAGCAGAGAAACTCAAGAGAGCTTTGGAGCTTGGTAGCAAAAGAAGAGCAGTTAAGAAAGTGTGTGAGCTTGATGACACGGAGATGATGATGCTCCATCTCTCCTTTCTAGGATTATTATGTTGCTGGTAGACACCTGCCTTTATTTTCATGCCATTATTTTATTCAGAAACTTAGGATTCTCTGAAGTGATTACACTTTATTTGGTAAACATTTCAGATTGTAATTGTTTTAGTAGTTTGCAAGAAACTTGCCTAACTCCCTCAAAAAATAAGTACTTCTTACTGTAATCATGTTGAGCCTATGGCTTTCTCAACTATAAAATCATCATGTTCTCAGATCTCACCAGAAACCAGTGTCATTACAGGTAAGGTCTGTACTAACTAGGTGAAGACTAGAAGTTCTTGTAGAACTTTTGAAAAAATTTGGTAAATCAAATTTATCAGTTTAGTTCATTTTCTTATTCTGATGAGTCTAAAATTTATTTGCTTGTGGCCATTAGCTGAAGCACAGAGAGTTAAAGTAAGGTTTTCTGAATTACTTAAACACACATATATTTCTGCATTTCAGACATCCGTCTTGATAGTAAATCTTAAAACCCCAACTTTCTACATTGTATTTTAAGTCAGAGCGCAGTGGTGATATGGGATAGAGTTGACTGACTATATTAAAGCATAAGAAATTTGTGCTGGTCCATGTTATAAACCAATCATTAACCAGCATTAAACCACACACTAACCAAATTTGAAAAAGTAAAAGCAGCTTGTTAGATTTGGAAGAGCTTAATCTAGGCAATACAAGAAGTTTGCCTTGAAATGGAGAGGAGCCTACTGATTGATACGACTCATAATAGCTTTCTTGTAGAATTGGAAGAACTCTGATACTGAGTTGCCCTTTAAAAACAACCTTCCAGAATGCACTTGCTTGCTTATGGTGGAAGAGGCAATGAGAGGGACAGATGAGAGTTTCCCCTGGAGTGAAGAGAATCATTATACTTATTTTCAACTGAGGTATATTTCCTTGTAGCAAACCTTTGGTTTATTTTATTGTTAAATCAATGCCTTCTTCAGTTATTTATGGTGCCATCAACCTAAGGAGGACAATCAAATAACCTGTCGTTTGCCTTGGATTCGGTATGTCTGGTAATTACACAGTCTCATATACCTTCAAACCAGTTACTTGACTAAACTTCCACCGTATTACCTTAGTTCTTCCTATGCTCTTTCCCCTGTACCACCACAAATCAGAGGGAAGTCTGCAGTACTACCAGAAATATGTGGACTTCTGAGAGCAAGGATTCTCTCTCAATATCTCTTGATCATTATCTCTGAAGTCCTTACCTGCACTTCCCAGATTGTCCTGTAGCAATACCAGCATGGTGGGAATAGGGAGAAAAAGTATGGGAAATTCCTAAAGAGTAATTGATCATGACATTGTTATTCTTTGAACTGTGAAGTAAAATTGTGATCCACTCACAGTTGTAAAGAGAGCAACTCTAGCTTTATCACATTGTGAAGACTAATTTCTTGCTATTTTCCAAATTTGCACAGAAGCTTATATCAATGAAGACTATTTAGGAGAGGAATAGGGTGAAAAATGATTTGTCTTTTCACACCCCCTCCCCCTACTCATGTTTGCTTCATCCCCTACCACACTGTGTTGGTCAAATGATACTATTCTATGAAACCCTGAGCTGTAGTTGTCAAGAGTAACTATGGAATGTGATTAGTCCTCTGTGGGTGCTTCTTTGTGTCTTTTTTCTCCCTTGCTTTCTTTCTCTCTTACTCTCTCCACTCTGATAAATGGAAAAGGTGACGTCAAAGAATTAATGCTTGCTTTGGACTCATGTTGTATCTGTGATTATGCTATTAGCTGTCTCCTTTTTCCTTCTTATATGGGTAGAATTCTTATGAAGTGTGGAGTTCCCTTCTTGATAAGTAGGTTAAATGCACAATGTGGTACTGTTTTATAGTTTCTAGATGGTTGTATAAAGCAAAAAGTTAATGTGGTTATGTGTTTTTAAAAGAAAATAAGTGATTGGTTACAAAATTCTGTCCTTTTTTCATTATTACAAGCTCTCTGTTTTCCAACAGTTTGCTGACTCCTTTGTGGCTGACGAGTGGTGTGTGTGACTGTGTGTTTTTCTCCCTGCGTTTCTTGGATTCCTGAACATGATTTCTTTTTTTAGGAAAACTGACTTCAAGGGTGAAATATTTTAAGACTATTTTACTAAATTAAAAAATATCTTAGGTGACCTTTTTTATTTAGGTAGTATATGAGGTGTGATGCTAAAGCAATGGTATTGATGCAGCAGGTCATTATTTTTTACTGACACAAAGAATCTCAAATATTAGGTAAAATGATGTGTAATACTATGTTGAAGAACTGGACACCTATTACCACTACATATCCGTGCTCTGCATGGGAACATAGTGTTTTCTGCAGAATTCCTGGATTAATCATTATTCCTTATATCTGTCTAGGAAAAAATTGTGAAATTAACTGATCATATACTCAAAATGCAAAGGGGAAAGTGTTTCATTAACTAAAACATCGAAGCCTTTTTATTTTAATACCAAAAGCTCTGTTCTTACTATATTTCTGTCTAGGCTAAACCAGAATATGATGATATGGACTTTCCAGGCCAATGTCTAGATAAGCTGTGAATATATATAAATACTCAATAATCTTTCTACAATTTGATAGTACAGTGAATCCTGTGAGAGCCAGAATTCGGCGGGACTGCCTTGTTTTTCCAGGTCTCACAAGTTGTCTGCCTTTGAAAGGGTGCGGTCTTACCACTTTTCTGTCACTCATTTTAGTAGAAAATATGTGCATTTTCCTTCTCTGACAGATTCCAGCTTTTGCAGGTTTTACTGTAATAATACTCAACATTTGTATGTCTATAGTATGTTCCAACATATCGCATCTCAGTTGTGTGAATTAACTGCCTTTTATTCGAGTCATTTCAATTTGTAGATGAAGAGGCACAGACCTAAAGCAGCTAAGTCTACAATTCCAGATGATTCTAGGTTACTATCTCTTTTATCCATCTTAGATATATCCAGAATCCTTGTTTAGTCACCTTATCTTTATATGGATAATTTTCACTAGATCTTTTTCTAAGGTTACGAGAATAATGATCAATTTCATATTTTATGATTCACTTCTTTTTCCAGTTTCCCACCTTTTTCCTTAGGGTAATTGAAGGGCTTCTTGTATTTTTTTTTAATTAATTTATTAGGTGTTTACTGAGATCCTATTATGTACTAGGCATTACTTTAATACTTAGTTAGAATTGGTTTATCATTATAGTTTTATGGAGACAAGAGAAAGATGATAAAATTATTTCTAAACTACATATCTGAAACCACTACCAAAAAGACCAGACTGTCCCATTACTAGGTATCAACACCCCAGGGTAAGCTGAATTTTCTGTCTCACGTTAAGATATTCCTGTCCACCCAATCCCAGGTAGATATTAAAGCCTATTATTCTGGTTTCTTCATCCTTTTAAAAAGTGAAAGCCAAGATTTGGTTCTTCAGAATTTTCTCTTGCTAAAAACTGTCTTCATAATCCATCATTGACTTACTTCCTTAGGAATGTCTTATCTGAATAGATTTTTTTTTTTTTTAACCTATTGGCAGCATCACACAGAGGAATCAAAGTGAGATGTTATCATTAAATATCAAAGTTCAGCTGACGCTTACCTTTATAAAATGAAGTTTTTTACCCTAATCTTAATAAATGTTATATCACTACATAGCTGAATGGGAATGATGACTGTATAGCATTTTGCCTTGCTCCAACTGGGGCAGCCCTGTGGCTTCTTTGTGTATGTTAATAGAATAACCAAAGCCAGTGTATGATTTTTGGAGGTAGATTTACTATGCTACTGTTACCTTCTTGTGCTGAGTTTCTAGGGTAAGGTGAGAACCAAGTAAATCAAGAGAAATAGGCAGGTATCAGAAGAGAGCCATGGAGAAGCAAATTAATCATTCAAACTCCCAAATCCTTTGGCACTTTACTAAATTTCATAGTTACTGTATTAAATATTATGTGGTTGAAGTAAACAGAAATTTGCCTTTTCATGGTTTCTCAAACACTGTCTTCTGACTAGATGGGCCAGTAAAGTTTTAAATTTCAAATCAGCAGGGCTTCTGTATCCCTTCTATAAGGAAATATCAGAGATACTTTAGAAACAGCCATTCTGCGAAGATTATTCCTATCAACTATTGGATTTAGATATTCTTTCTGCACTTTCATAGATACTTTAGAAAACTTCTAACCCCTCCCTGGGCAGCCCTAAAGACTTGCTGGTTAGGGTTTGTGCCCTGCTGCCGGCTACCTGGAGTGTCTTTGAGGACACACCCTGGCTTCCTTCTGTGGAAATGCCTCAGTCTTGGCCAGTCTGAAACGCTAGTAGTAATACCATTCAGGGGAGACGAGACATTCTTTTACCAAAAGTGCTTTATTGTCACCAGGAATTGACACAAAATCATATTAACTGAAATATTTTAAATGCCTAGTAGATAGTAGGGGCTTAAATATTTATTAGACTGAGCAGTAACTCTAGGAGCCTATAGATGAACTGCTGAGAACATTTAGGAGGTAATTGGCTTTTTGAACAACCGCTACAGAGACTGTGCCTCTGATGAATGCATCCTCACTGGCAAACACCAGTCTCACTTTGATCCTTGTATAAAAGCAAGTTGTGTGAAAACTTGATTCTGATGCTGCCCTGGCATCTGACTGGCTCCATAGCCCACGTCTCTCTCCCTTAAAGAAAGAAGAAGAAAAAGTTTTTTTCTACTTGGCAACCAAAACTAGAAAATGACTTGTGAATTAATGCTTCTTTCCAAAGCTAAGCCTGGTCAGATCGGGAATATAACCACTTTAAAGAAAATTAAAGAACACCCCCTCCCCAATACACACGCAATCATAGGTTCCTCAGCAAGCTAGGTCCCACTAATTGCTGAATTCTGAGATTTTATTCTCTGCCCCTCCAAAGGAAGACAGCTCTCAGGAAATTTTTTAAGCTAGTTAATAACAAACAGCTCCATAATCTGCTTTTCACAGGTGTCCTCTCCCTTTACAAGCCACTCTCCTTCCCTCCTCTACCGTTTCCTGCCCTCCCCTTTCTTCCAATTGTTGAGACTTTCACCAATGGTGAATTGGGATGGTGTACTGGAAGAAAGCAGGCACTTGGAGTATAGAAGCATTTGAGATACAGGGAGCAAAGAGCAGTTATAGGGTAATGAGACTGAATGCTGTTGCTAAGTGCCATTGATGCCTACAGAAGGATAATGAACAGCTAGGGGCAGGTATCAGGCAATTAAAAGCCAGGTGTGAAACCCAGAGTGCTGCTTTGGTTCCATACAAAGTTCTCATCTCCTGCAGTGGAAGGAGAGAGAAAGCCAGGACCAAGCCCAGGACTTTAAATAGAGTGGCAGAACTTTGAAGACAAACACCCAACCAAGGCAGGTCTATTTTGCAAGCTCAGGGCCCTAATGGGAAAACCTGAAGCATCAGATGGTATTATTTCCTTGGATCTCCCCACCCCTTACTAGCACTCTCCATGTCCATTCCTTGATGGAGGACATTGAAGACGCCTCTCTTGTTCAAGCCAATATGTGCACCCTTGGGATCCTCCACGACGACTCAGCTGAAGACATGCTGGGCCTGCTGAGAGAGAATAGGGACTATACACTAAAGGAGCTGCAAGGCGTAGTCAGCATGTACTTACAGGAGCTGGAGGAGA